ATATTGACTTTTCTTTTTCCCTTAAATAATTCCCAATGAAAGGATTTGGATTAAGTTGTAAATCTTTCAGAGAATGAATGAAATGCAAGATAGAACTTGCAAATAAGTTAACAGATTCTAACTTATTTCATTGAAATCAGTTTAACTAGTTATAGTTTTTTAATTCAATTGGATATATTTGGTGAATAACTTATAATACCTTCTACATGTTCTTTGAAGTTGTGCTTGAACTCCTGGTTTTTATCTGTATTTGTTCTAAAAAATCACAGTTTTAATATCATGTTATTTTGTCCGTTATTGAAGTCACTAGTGCAAAAAGAGGATTTTACATCAGGTATTTAGGACTTTTTACGTCGTATTTAAGACTGACGTTAAAACGGGAGACGTAAATTTATGTCGGACCCTTTAGCCCGACGTAAATTTACGTCAGTTATCAAGACCCGACGTAATTTTGCGTTGCATATACCACTAAACAGACCTAAAAACTTTCAGAAATAAAAAAAAAAACAACAAATTTACGTCGCATATTGGTATACGCGACGTAAATTTTAAAAATTGGGTTGATTATGTTTTACAACTAAAACCTGCAAATATATATTACAACCAGACAGATCAGGAGGTTCAATTTTCGTAGCTAGTAAATTAAAAATATAATATTATATAATTCAAACTACATAATAAAAGAATATAATACAAACATACAACCTAAAAAATCTATTACAAACTAAAAGTTAATACAAACTAAGCTACCTAAACTACATAATACACACTATAATATGAACAAGAACTTCAAAAATTATGTACTTAGAACCGTTGAACAAAAAATTTTGCCCATTGTTCTCGAATTTGGGTAATATCATATTCCAGTAATGGAGATGGATCTTGAAATACCTGAAACATTAATTTGACTATTGTAAACATGCAACATGAATAAAGTTAAATAAAATTAACTAATGTTAAAAACAATTACCTCCAGTCCAAGAATCATTTATACTCGCACAAACAATGGCTCTCATCCAATACATAACATAGTAACCACATTCAAACGAGTCTGTTTGCTTATTACACTGAAATGATGCAAAAAAATATAATGTTATTTTCAAAATTTAAATACAAACAATAATTATGGTATTCACTTATATAAATAAGTTTCTAACCTTAGGATAAATGAACTGCAAAGTCTTTGTTCTTGGTTTTCCACTTAGAACATTAGTTCAGCACACGATTCTAAGTGAAAAAAGTCATATATTATTCAATATGTATTTACAATTTAAAAACATAATTAATGAATAAAAGATAAAGTTACCCTTGTAATAAGTTTTTCATTTCTTGACTCAGTTTCAGATGTAATGAACAAAACCACACCACAGTGTAATCCCGTGGTATGATTACAATTAACTGCCAATGAGATCTACATTGTATGACATAAAAATTAGTTACAAAAATATAAATTAAAATACAAATTAAAATACTAACCCTTCAATGTATGGAGCCAAATATATATGTCTTTTTTAGTCACTCATCCATGTTTGCATATATTGTTGGATTCCAACATTTGTATTTCCAGATTTTTGGATGGATTGAGGCTCAATAAATCCAGTATACTTCGGATTTTTCTTGTTCCACACTCAATTTGTCAATGTACCTAAAACAATTAATTATAAGTTGAATGTAATTATTATAATCTTAGAAACATAAATGAGAATGACTTACATTGCCCACAATTGTATGATGGAAATGTTTAACATGCAATTTCCCCTAGCAATTTCTAAAGCATCGGGCAAGGAAATGTATAATGGAACACTAGAATTGTCAATTCCAAATACTCTAACATCCCATATTATCCGACACGGTCTCTTCCTCAACCGTGGTAATATGGTCAACAACATTGAGATGTGATCATCATCACATTCTCGTCAAATCCTCATCAATAATAGGTTGTTTTTTATGCTTAGCACGACGCAAGTCCTCATAAACAAAAGATAACAATTAATTAAACATTTATATAATTATAATACTATAAAAGAGAAAATAGACATATATATATATATATATATATATATATATATATATATATATTACCTTGGTTTGTGCTGATAGTGGCATAACCAAACGTCTTGGCCAAACCAAGAATGTCCCGCTTGCTCGCCCACTAATTAAATCTCTTCATTAGGAAAAGACACTGAAGCATTAGCATCATGAACTTCATCAACTACTACTCGCGTCCGAGTCCGCTCGTAGAGGGACACCATGGATGGTTAAACCACCCTCAAAACTCGACCAATAGCCACTAGACGCGGGGGTCATCTTCAACATATAACTCACACTGGTGTGATGTATCGATCCGAGTATATTCTCCTGAAGGATCAGCAACGATAGCAGAGACAACTCCCTTTAGTGCTGACTCGAACAACATCATGTTCAATTGTTTGAGGTGTTCCTTGAGTCTCGTTGTCGAGAGCGGCGAGAGATTCAATTTTCTCATCAAACTCTTGCTGCAAGGACTGCCTTATTTGATTTAACTTTTCTTCAAACTGCATCTCCATTTTATGCAAGGCCTCTTGGTCGCAAGAGTCGAGTAGTGGTCCTTCGTGATGTTGGACCAAAGTAATCACGAAGGCCCCAGGATCCACCAAGCACCACGCACACGTCCCGAGTAATCTGGTTTTCCTATGGCTGTCGCCAATATATCTTGTCGACCATGAGGAATAAATGATCCTTGGGTGCTCTGCTCAACTAAATCATCCTACAACATATTAACAATAATTAAGTCATGCACTAACTTTCACATTAGAATCAATTCAAATTGACATTATAACTTACAATTTTCTCGAGCAATGATTCGTGCGGACTCGAAGTCATTTGTCCATCGATTTTGTCCGAGCTGCCTTCCACATCTCATAGCGAGGGGTGGAGATACAAGGTCGGTAGAATCAACTCCTGCCGACCGTTCTCCGGCTTTCATGAGACGTTGCTCCAATAATGCATACCCTCCTCGTGACAATACATGGGGTGCATCATTCAACCTCCGACGTGCTTGGGCAACACGTCTTTTATCCTGCCAAGAGGGGTCCACTCTACTGGCACAAAACTCGTAACCAATCCTCCTCACTAATTTGATACTTTAGACAGAGAGATTCATCTTGAAACTTTCCAAATACATACTCCCGTGTCAAGAAAGTCTTAAAGTCCCTCCATCTAATGGCAATGGAGGATAAAACCTTCTTCCTCATCACCTCGGTGTTAGGAACATCAAAATTTTACTTGTGAAATGACTAATAAATGTTAAATTCAATTAATAATGATATATAAAGTATTCAACAAATATAGAAATACCCGAACATCCCGCCACATGAGGTTCTTCTCGGTTTCCTCTACATCATCCCAAGATGGAGTAGTAATCGGAACATGGTATCGAGCTAGTAGTCCCAAATAACTCTTAAACTTAGCAGCATTTGGGCCAGATGCCTTACCAGAACGTGGATCAACTTCAACTTGAGTTTTCTCTCTAGCTACCCTCCTTGCTGTCAACCCCTTTAACCGAGTGACAGATCTACCTTTACCTCCACTTCCGCTCCTGCCACTGCCACTACCACTACTAGTACCAGATGTGGAATTCGACATATCCTGAAAAACAACGAACACATGGACAATAATATGTCCCTTTCATAGCTTTTCCATTTTCACTAGCAAATTTCAAAAATTCCTCAACTCCCTTTTCGTACTCTTCATTAATACGACGTGCATTCATCCAACTTCGATTCATATTATGTTATAAAGTTTCGTCACTCCTAAAGATTTAAAAATTATATGTAAAAAGAAATTAATATACAAACAACAAATCACGTAAATGGAGTGTGTAAACCGAAAATGCACTCAAACAAATAATTACATTCCAATAACAATCCAGTGGAGACATTCATACAATAACGTGATTGAGATTTCCAAAAACAATCACGGATTCAATTTAAACATATAGCAATGACATAGAACACTAACCTCGAGTGTAGACGAAAAATGATTTCAAACTCGAATCCAATCGGGGAGAAATATCAAGTTCGTCAAATGACACACAATGGTGATGTTTTTCACTGTCAAACTGATCGAAAATGGTGTGCAGAGGTAGCTGTTGTCGTCGTTCTCAAAAACTCTTACTGCGCGAGACGAGGGAGTGGGCTGGGCGGGAAATAAAAGAGACTTTTTACGTCGCACACCCCAGCATGCGACGTAAAAAGCCTCTTTTACGTCGCACCTACGTGGCGTGACGTAAAAAGTCTCTTTTACGTCGCGCCACGTAGCTGCGATGTAGAAGAGGCTTTTTACGTCGCATGCTGGGGTGTGCGACGTAAAAGTTTTTTCTCTTATTTACAAAATTGCCACCGCGTTTTATTTACGTCGAATATTTTTACATGCGACGACAACTGGGTGACGTAAAAACCTATTTTTCCACTAGTGAGTATTAGATAACTACCCAGACATACATTTTTGTCTTCTAAATGGAAAAATAAATATATAATTTGATGTGAGATAATTTTATGAAATGTGACCATTCTGGAGGATCCTTGAATTCATATAAATATTCAATGATAAGTGAATAGGAATGACATGGACAACACAATTCATGATAACTCTCTTGAATTCATTATATTTCTTGCACTGATATAATTGTGTGGTATGTATATCTTATTTGGCGACAATTTAAAGATTCTGCATGTGCAGATATTGAAGAGACTGTGTGATAAATATGCAGGTGCAATGATCTTCTTCGGAAAATTGGTCACTAAAAGAATGATTGGCCGCGTCTAAAACTCACACTCTTTGCATCTTCTTCAAACCTTGTGCTTTTTAGTGCTTTCTCACCCATTATAACGGACCCAAATGAATGCACACATACATTATTACTATAGAGAACTTGGATCATTTATTGAGAATAATAGTTGTTTTCAAATTTTTATGATTTTAAAATTTTTATTGTTTTCTTTAGAAGTAAAAAAAAATGATTAAAGTAAGAAGAAGGAAAAGGATAGTGGTGTAGCGCGTAAGTAGTGAAGAGAATCACAACTCAAAAGCGCACGTGAGAGCGGAACCGCCCGTTGAGCTTCGTAGAGGGTAATGGAACGGCCAATGATGGTGGGGTCCACGCGAAGTTTGAGTTGCATTTGAGTGTCATTTGGAGTTTCATTTGCATCTGTATTTGCATTTAGGAAGATAGTGACATTAAGCAAACGCTGCTGGTGGGTCCTTAGCTTTAGCATTGAATAATTGACTTTGACCAAAGAGAGAGAGAGAGAAGAAAGAGGGAGGAAGAAAAGTCACACTTTCCTCCCTTCTTCCTTTCCCTTCCCTGATAGCTGTTGCTGGTGTGCTGACAATAAAAAGGCCTTCCCATACCTTCTTTCTCCCTCATCTTCGCTCAATCGAGGTCTTCTCGATTTTCTTCCCTACAAAACAACAACGCTTTCTTGCAACCAACGTACTCTTCTTCCACTCCTACTCCTTCTCTAATCTACTACTCATAAAGGGTATGTTTTTCTTTTCCTGCTTTCACTGGCTCAATACCTTTTTCTTTTTCTTTGATCTTTGGTTGTTTTGTGCGGGTCTGAGGAATATGCTTCGTGGTTCTGCTACTGGGTAGATAAAAGTTTCAAACTTTGTTGAAGATGTTGGGAGTTTTTTATTTTTTATTTTTTTTTTCCTTTTAGTTACTTTGTTTGTTTCCTGTTGAGGTATTAGAATAACAAGTTGTCTTGGATATCATTAGTTATGGATCTAGTATTTGTTGGTAAAATTGGTTTAACACGGTTCATGGGAAGCTACCTACCTGTGCATATCTAGGTATTTGGTACCAAGATTGTTGGGAAATTTTGTTTTAAAGTTGGACGTTGTATCGTTTTTCTTGTTCTATGTAAATGATGAATTATTAATTGATAGACTTATTGATTGAGTTCATGCTGTCTTGTTGTGCAGGATTTGGGACATGTGTAGTGATTCAAAGAGTAAACTTTCTTCCCAAAGCCTCGTGATGGAGAATAATCTTCCGAAGCAGAATCTTGATGGTTTCTACAACTTCTCGGCTTTGCTTGAACTGTCTGCATCCGATGATTTTGAGGATTTTAGGAGAGAAGTGGATGAGAAGGGCTTAGATGTCAACGAGGCTGGCTTTTGGTATGGTAGAAGAATTGGGTCCAAGAAGATGGGATCTGAAACGAGGACCCCCCTCATGATTGCTTCTTTGTTTGGGAGCACTAGGGTTCTCAAGTATATTCTTGAGGCAGGAAGTGTTGATGTGAATAGGGCCTGTGGTTCTGATAGGGCCACTGCTCTCCATTGTGCTGCTGCTGGAGGCTCTGAATCCTCACCTGAGATTGTCAAGCTCTTGCTAGATGCTGGGGCTGATGCAGAATCCCTTGATGCCAGTGGAAACAAGCCGGTTGATTTGATCGCTCCCGCCTTTGATTCTTCCTCCAAATCTCGGAGGAAGGCCTTGGAGTTGTTCCTCAGGGGTGGTGAAAGAGATGAGCTGATGAGCCAGGAGATGGAGCTACAGATATCCGCCGTTCCTTTCTCATCAAAAGAAGGTACTGAGAAAAAAGAAGGAAGTGATAAGAAAGAGTATCCCGTTGATATATCCTTGCCTGATATCAACAACGGTGTGTATGGAACAGACGAGTTTAGGATGTACAGTTTCAAGGTGAAGCCTTGCTCAAGGGCCTATTCCCATGACTGGACTGAGTGTCCGTTTGTTCATCCAGGGGAGAACGCAAGGAGGAGAGACCCAAGGAAATACCCTTACAGCTGTGTTCCTTGCCCTGAATTTCGCAAAGGGACCTGCCAGAAGGGTGATTCCTGTGAGTATGCCCATGGTGTTTTTGAGTCATGGCTACACCCTGCCCAGTACAGAACTAGGCTTTGCAAGGATGAGACTGGCTGCACCAGAAAAGTTTGCTTCTTTGCTCACAAACCTGAAGAGTTACGCCCTGTGTATGCTTCCACCGGGTCAGCTATGCCTTCACCAAAATCCTACTCTGCTAGTGGACTAGATATGACAAGCATGAGTCCACTGGCTCTCAGTTCCACATCTTTGCCTATGCCAACTGTTTCAACCCCACCCATGTCTCCCTTGGCAGCAGCTTCATCTCCTAAGAGTGGAAGCTTGTGGCAGAACAAAATAAACCTTACTCCACCATCCCTGCAGCTCCCTGGTAGCCGACTCAAGGCTGCTTTGAGTGCCAGGGATCTGGAGTTGGAGATGGAACTGCTCGGTCTAGACAGTCCAGTTCGCCAAAAACAGCAACAACAACAACAACAATTGATAGAAGAGATTGCCAGGATCTCCTCCCCATCTTTCCGCAACAAGGATTTCAGTAGGATCAGTGATTTGAATCCAACCAACCTTGATGACCTGTTAGCCTCTGCTGACCCTTCTGTGTTATCACAACTACATGGACTTTCTATGCAGCCTTCAACACCCACACAAAGTGGGCTTCAGATGCGCCAAAACATGAACCACCTTCGTGCGAGTTATCCATCCAACATCCCTTCCTCTCCTGTGAGGAAGCCCTCAGCTTTTGGGTTTGACTCATCAGCTGCTGTGGCAGCTGCAGTGATGAACTCCAGGTCTGCGGCCTTCGCAAAGCGAAGCCAAAGTTTCATAGATCGTGGAGCTGCAACCCACCATCTTGGCCTGTCTTCACCTTCCAACCCTTCCTGCAGGGTGTCCTCTACCCTTTCAGATTGGAGTTCCCCTACAGGGAAACTGGATTGGGGTGTTAACGGAGACGAGCTGAACAAGCTGAGGAAATCTGCTTCATTTGGGTTCAGAAACAATGGGGTAACTGCTTCCCCCATAGCTCAGCCAGCACATGTTGAGCCCGATGTCTCATGGGTTCATTCATTGGTTAAGGATGTTCCTTCTGAGAGGTCTGAGATGTTTGGTGCTGAGAAGCAACAATATGATCTCAGTAAAGAGATGCTGCCACCATGGGTGGAGCAGCTGTACATAGAGCAGGAGCAGATGGTAGCATGAGCAAGGGCTGCCATGGCAATGCTTCTCGGTTATTCTGCTGACAAGTTTATTTATTTATTTAATTATTTTATTTATTTGAACTGCTACTACTATCCAACATTACACAGTATAGTTAGGGATAGGAGATCTTGCAAAGAACAAAGTTCAGGTTAATCCACAGATTTGAACGGAGTTCCAACTTTTCTAGATCAGGGGAGAAGACTTGGAAGAAACGTTGAAGAAAGGATGGTGGATTTTTTATTGTATAATATAGTTTATAATATATTCCCCCATTTATCTTCGGGGGGATGCATTTTCTCTTGCAAGTGGACCCTAAGTATTTGTCATTGATTAAGCAGGCACAATTCTTTTTATATGTATTGTTATGCCATTTGATAAATGCTTATCCATTATTTCAACTACTTTCTTGCTGTGAATTTCTTCTGTATTTGCCTTCTTGCTTATTACTTCTGATATCAAAGAAAAGTAAGTGTGGATTTGCGCCGGCGGCGATGAGTAATTTAAGTATTGGAAGCATGAATGGGTCAAATTCTTCAGATATGAATCTTGTTCTTGTTTAATTTAATCATTCATTCGATTATATTAAGCATCAATAAATTTAATCCCCGTTACCACGACCTCACTACCATGTTGTCATCAGTCTTAACATGATATTTATGTTTTAGACTTTTTTTTCTCTCGTGGTGTTAATACATAGACAACTTAATGATCCATTCAAATCAAATTCAGTCAAACATGAAGGCTTTTATATATATATATATATATATATATATATATATATATATATATATATATATATATCTTTGTAAAAACCAAAAAAAAAAATGGTGTAAAATGACATGATACTTCTCTACTTTAAGTTGATTAGTATCCATTTTAAAAAACATATTGAAGTTCGGATCTTGGATTGGTAGCAAAAGAGAAAAGAAAAAGGTGAAGTTTTTTAAAAGAGAAATTCTTTCTGAGTCTCATTAAATTGCAATAATCTGTAATATAAGATAATGACGACTCAAGAAAGAAAAGGAAAGAGGGATGAAAAAAAGATGTGGTGTGGAATAAGTCTTCTATAGATGTATTTTGAAAAGAATTTTATTTGTGTATAAAAATCAACCCCATTAAAGATATACAAGACTTTATTAATATATGTGTATCACAGAAAGATACAAGTTTGAAATGAAGGTAATGTCGGAAACATTGTTATCCAGATTAGAGGGTTATGTGGCGGACATGTAGTCCAATGGTCCCTTTAGGTTGTTGAGAGAATGAGTTGGTTTTGGTTTGAGTTTGCTGAAAGAGTTCAGCAACCCACGTGCTTAAATTTCTCAATCATAATGTTCAAGCACATTAGTAAAATAGGACAACATAAAAATAACCCTCTTTAATTCCACATTAAAGAACAATTTTACAATTTGAAAGGTGTAAATATAATATACAATATTGTTCTTTAATTATTGAACTAAATTTTTTTGAATAGAATTTAGAATACATTTATTTTACCTACAGTTTATCAAAAATAGAATATAGAATCATCCAGCAATAAAGACAATTAAAAACTACTACTAAAGTGAATATTAGCGTATATTACACGAATAAACTAATACATGAAACAAATCAATAATCCATAATTTTATAAGATAAAATAATAACTTACAAAATACTGAGCCTATAAGATATTTCTCTTTTACCAAAAGCCTCCAATGCTCCACCAAACCCTCACTGAGATGTTCACAAATTTTGTATAAAAAGAAAAATATGCTTGAGTAAGTAAGAAAAATGTGGTTTGCAACTAAAATAAAACAATCACAACTAAAGAATTTTCAGTTACTTATTACACACAATAAAATGATAAATTTTTTAGATGGAATCGAGGCTTTGTTAACCTTTAAACTATTAATAATATTGTATTTTTAAATTCACCTGGAATGAGAAAAAAAGACAATATGTGAATTCAAGGATCACGCAAATAACAATTGTTATTGATAAACAATTCATATAATAGTTAAATTATATAAGATATACATTAATAATTATGGATTAGCAACTTTGAACTTATCATGTAATGAGACTAAAATCAATTAGTGATAGTAATAGACAAATTTGGCTGAACTAGTGGATAATGCATGGTTTAAATTGTAATAATAACATACAATGAAGACACATATCATCAAAGTTATTAAAATAGTATAATTTTTTTTACCAATAATATAATCACAAATTATAATCATACAAAATTATAGAACAAATAAGATAGTATTAACGAAAGTAAAATTGAATAATTATGACTTTATATTTATTATTTTTAATGCATACATATTGAATAAACATTTCATCACTGTTATCGCCTAAAGAAAAAATAAACCATAATAATTAAATATTACAATATTTCTATGATATTGTTCGTTAACTTAAAAATAACAAATATTTTTCTCTCAATTTAATATATATATATATATATATATATATATATTACGTTATTTTTAAAACTTATTTATATAAATACTTTTTAATACTACATGCATTAATATAAAAATATAAAGTTAATGATTTTTCACATGTTTAAAACATAGTTCTACTAGCAAATTACTAGTAAAAAGATAACCCAACATTTATTCCTTTTTCTCTTTTCTTTCGTTTTCCGTACACATCTTTTTGTATGAATTTGTTTTTTTTAATTACAATTTTCCATGTTTTTTTCTCTTTATTTTTTACTTATTAATTTTTTTCTCATTAGAATTACGTTTTAATTAAATTTGATTAATTTTTAATAATACAATTTATTTTATAAAAAAATAATTTGACTTATTTTTAATTTGGTTGAAGAATGAACTATTACAAAAACTAGTAAAAAAAGTAAACGCCCAATTAAGTTGCGTAAGACATGGTTCGTTTAATTAGTAAAAAGATACAAATATTATTTAATCACCAAATATAAATATTTCCCAAATATTATACTTTAACAAAATATTTTTGTTTAATGTTAAATCAAATTTAAAATTACAACTTAATAAATAATTGGTTACATACAATTTGATAATTATTATTTATACATCCAAATATTACATTACAATTTTAGGAGGAGTCCACACAATTTGAGTTGGGTCTCAATTAGGCTAAAACCCATAACTTAACCCAATAAAAATATTTGGGGTATAAAAAGAGATTCGACTATGTTCAGTACCTGTTTCACCCCGCAGCCGCACCCCTCAAAACCCTAGAGAGGAACTTTGCCTCATCATCACCACCACCCACCATGGTTAGAGATCTGTTCTTGTTCTCCATTTCTGTAATTTCATTCCACCTTCTCATATTTTTTTTTTTCATTGTTGAATGGATCTTCTTCTTTGCAGACATTCAAGCGTAGGAATGGAGGTCGCAACAAGCACGGTCGCGGCCACGTCAAATTCATTCGTTGCTCTAACTGCGGCAAATGCTGCCCTAAGGTTTTTATTTTACTTTCTTCTACTTTCAAAGTTTCTTGCGCCTTTCGTTTCGTTTGTTAAATTTTTGTGTTCTCTGAATACAATAAAATAAAATCAGGACAAGGCAATCAAGAGGTTTCTCGTGAGGAACATTGTGGAGCAGGCTGCAGTCAGAGATGTTCAGGAGGCTTGTGTCTATGAACGTAATATTAAAATTTATTTACATTCTATTTTATTTTGATGATTTTTTTTAATGTTATTTACTTGACTTTTAATTGTTATTGTGTGTAGAATACACGCTTCCCAAACTGTATGTGAAGATGCAGTACTGTGTTTCGTGTGCTATCCACTCTCATGTGGTTAGGGTTCGATCCCGCACTGACAGGAGGAAGCGTGACCCTCCACAGCGATTCATCAGGCGCAGGGTAACTCAATTTCTTTTTTCTGTGTTCCTCATTTTCTTTCTGTTGTATTCAATATAATTTGTTCTTGTTTTGTGCCTGTGTTTTCGCGTGCTACTGAATTGAGGATAGTGAAACTAAACTCTACTCTTGAGTTTCGTTTTTCATAAGTAGAGGATATAATTTAGTTTCTGTGTACAGGTTGAATCTTTTAATTGAGTTTCGATCTTACAATCATGTTGATATGATAGAGACGCTTTTTTTATTAGAACACTATCATGGTTGTTTTGCACCGGTGATGGAGTTGAGTCCTCCCCCCCAAATTCCCAATGATATTGGAGTAAATCGGAATTTTTAATCTTAAAAGTTAGAAACCCAAATCAAGGAGTCATAGAAGTATTTGAAATAATAATAAGTAATCTCCAATTTTGAATAAACTCTAAATATTGGGTACAACTCATTCAAATACATCAGCTTTAAGGCTAACTTGTTAGATATTTTCATCACTTATAAGAGAGTAATATTTAGAGGTAGAATTGGTGGTTTATTCTTGATATTGTTGATGGAGAGTTTGACAATGGAAACATTGAGATTTGATTCGAATCTTACCAAACTTGTGTCTTTTTCTACTGTCACATTTGAGCTGTCCGATCCAGAACTCTATAATATTAGTATCTGCACAGTCAGAAATTGTTGAAGACATACATATCAACAAGTAAGCTTGTCTTTAAAAGGAAAAGGCATGTGAATGTACTAAGTGATTTAGTCTGAACTTGCAAAAATGTGTTATAGTTGCATGCATAAACACTTTTGGTTATATTCAAATTGTAAGTCATAGTTGATAACTCCTTATTCTGGATCATGAATTAAGGTTAACACGGTCTTGTTGGCTTGTCTTTTTATGAGTTTGTTTGTATCTTTGCCAGGATGATGCACCTAGGCCTGGTCAGCCCGGTCAAGCGCCTCGTCCTGCCGGGGTTGGAGCTCCTGTCCGAGCCTAAGTCTTGAAGTTATGCTGGATCAAGTTATAATTTCTTTGCGATTTAATTTTGAAAATCGGGTTTTTCTAATTATCTGCTTTAGTTCGTTGGATAATTTCTTCCTGGTTATATTTTCGCGGCTTTAATGATAATGGAACCTGATCATAACTTATACATCGAGTTTTCAAAATCGGATTTTTAATTTTATTACATTTTGTTCCCTTTTCTTTATTACCACTATTGTTATATTTCTAAAAATACTAATTCATTGAAAGCCTTTCATGGTTAGGATATCATATGATATATCCTATTAGTAAAAGATAAACTGTTAGATGTTATTCTATGTTATGTTTTGGCCGAATCGGATTTTTGTGTATATGGAAAATCCAATCAAGAATGATTTATATATATAGTTAATTGATTTACGTTAATATATGGAATGATATTAAAAGTTTTTGGCAACAGACATCTTGGTGAGAGAAATACTACGGGTTTTTTTGCGGACTCAGTTATTATTATTATTATATATATATATATATATATATATATATATATATATAGAAGATATATTTCTCATTTTATTATTTATTTTATAATAAATATTTTACTTTTTACGTCTTATGTCTACAGAAACATGCGATAAAAAAATACTGTCAGCTTTTATTGTAATTTACTTCCATAATTTTATTCGTTTGTGATTTTAAAATGTCTCAACTTACCTTCACATGCTTTATTCGCAACTTGTCGAGGTTTATTATGTTATGATTATAAAAATACAAGATTAAAAATTCTGTGCTGTGCTCGATTAATTATATTACACTGATATGTGCGTCGTAGAAATAAAATAATGATCATTCGCATTGGGTGAGACCAAATATGTTTTTTACAAAGAGCAAGCAATCATAACTGCCACCATTTACGATTTTCCATTCTTTTAGCAAGTTCAGTTGCCATGGATGCAAAGTCTTGTGCCCCATTTTGCAACTCTTCAGTCCGTTCGTTGAGCAACTAGTTAAAAAAATGGCGAGATGGTTAGAAAGAAAATAAATAAACACATTTGGGAGAATTCGAGCGAAGTTTCCATTCAAAGTAAAACGCATTGATTTCACATAGTATTAAGAGAAGTTTTATCCTTAAAAAAGAGAAAACAAAAGGAGTTCATCAGGACTGGGGTTATATCATGATTCATCAGCTAGGTGAGTCAACAAACTTCGATGAAGCCTTAATTATTTCAAGATAAAACTCAACTCTATCGCCTACTTGTTAATAATAAAACAAGAAACGTCTGTTTTCAGGGACTTCTTAAAAATGGATTTTCTTTTTGTTCAGGATTTGGTTCTTTGAAAAGAAGAGGTTTGCAATTGTGAAAAATAAGTTTTGGGTAATGGAAAAAGGAGTCAAATAATAATATACCTGGAGCTTTTCTTGCCGCTCTACAAGTTTATTCCTTGCAAGTGCAGCTGCTGCAGAGGCATCCTGAAACAAGTGCAAAGTCAAGACATGTGAGCTAAAATGCGTAAATTACAGAATTTTCAGATCTACAATTTACCCCCATCCCCGTCTTTCTGTATTTAGCTTTAATTTCTTCGGTCGTTCTAGCTCTTGGTTTTGAGTCTGAAGTTGAATCAAATAATTTCTGTCTGTCTGTTGCTTTCCCTTTATCTTCAAATAATTTCGGTCTATCTGTTGCTTTCCCTTTAACTTCAAATAATTTCGGTCTGTCTGTTCCTTTCCCTTTATCTGCAAGGCGACCTCAATATTCAAAAAATAAATCATATAATACTTTCGGGAGAAATTAAAACAATATGATGTACCTCTCTTGTCAATATCGATTTTCTGAGGTGATGAAAAGAGCACGAGTTCATCAATCTGAATGTCATCTGTAAAAGATAAGGATAAGGTACCATTTTAAGAAAATAAAGAATAGTTGGCAGAAGAAAATGTTAAGGGACAAACCTATGTCAAGGGCAAAAGGATCTTGGTTATCTACTGTGTTTGAGGAAGACTTTAAGAATGGAGGACTGGAGAATAATTGTTTTAAATTTTCCAATCTATTTGTATGAACTGCTGGATTTGCATTCTGATCTGCTTTACCCGCTTTGAAGTTCTTAGATATATTAACAAAGATACCAGATGCTCCCTATAGCAATATAAGTTGAATTACAAGTCTTGAAAAGAATAATGGGAGAGAAAGCACCGCAAGCCTGAAAATGCTAGACCTGTCTTTCCTTTTGGTCTGAAGATAGACTTGTTGTAGCATCTACTGCAGCTGCAAGAACTTCATCATGAAGACAAGGAAAAGACTCTGGAGTCCTACAAGAATTTGAAAGCATATTGAAAACCGAAGTTCTAATTATTAATAAGACTATATAACATATAATTTCCTCAAGCACTTTTTTAAAGAGGCTATCACATTCGGCAACCACTGTGGGTTGTCCCAGGCTCTCTATTATAGCAGTCCCCGAATTTGATTTATTTAACTTGTCTTAAGAAGTTTTGTTATGTTGAAACGTTTTATCCAATGCTTTGAATATTAACATAGTGCTCGAAATTGTGGGGTTAAGAATGTCTAATTTCTGAATTTAAGTTATAGTCAGATCAGGAGGAATGAAGTTACCAGAACTCATTTTCACAGTTCAATAGTGATATGCATGCAGTTTCATTCCCATTGACCTATAAAACAAGATAGCCATAAGTTTGATTAAAAAACAAAACAACCTTGTAATTACTTCATTTGTAGGAACAGCAGGAGTTATGCTTGCAGCACTTTCTGTGCAACATGTCTTTAAAGAATCAAAAACCATAAAATGTATGGTGATTTTAATTTTTTTATCCTTAAAGCTGAAATATTGATGTTAAAGCTGCTAGATGAGAACTCACAAATGGTTTTATATCAGTATATCTAACACACCCTCACACAAAAGCCATTATTTGAAAGATGGTGATCTAGGCCAACTACGTGGTGCTGGAATTCAATATTTCTGATAAATTATATTCCCTTCCCCTTAATGATTCAAATTACACTACCATCACTTCAGATAAAAATGCACTACACTACCATCACTTTATTTTTCTCTTGGTGTTGGAACTTCACCAAAATCTTAATTTCATCTTTTACAGTCCCAAAATCAATAATCAGGCTTCAGTAGTTGTTGAAGATGTTGAGAGTCACAGAAAGAGAGAAAAAAACACCCACAAGAAGATCATTCACTTTAAAATAGATTGAAGCGTACCATATATTCATTTATCAAAGGAAGTGAGTGTAATTTTTTCAAAATAAAGGGAAGGTATATATACATCTCCTAGACCTAGTGGCAGGGGCATCGTAAACCCATTTTTTTACTATTTAAGACAAAAGCCTCATCCACAAGTCTTTTAATTGTGTCAAAATGAAAACCAGTTTACTATATTTCCTGCATGATTAACTGTTAGAATATCTTTAACTGAATAGATATATTTGTTAATTACCTAATTGGTTAGGAAGAAAGCTGTGTTTTCTTCATTCCTTGATAGAATATGAATTACAAGGAAGAAATATAAAGTGAAAACTGTACATTAATATAGGGGACTAAATTGCAAAGGAATGAACTCCTTTCCCTAATCCAAACAAATTAAGAACAGAAATCATTTCATATTCAAATAATCTATTTAAGGTAAATAAAAAAAGATGAAATCTGGTCCAAATCCAAGTAATAGGACCTAAGAAAACAGTCTGCTAAATGCCCATTACAGTATATTCTTATTTTCTTAATCAATATCCACACACACACACACACACACATATATATATATATATATATATATATATATATATATATATATATATATATATATATACTGAACAAAAAATATTAAAAATCTTCTCAGATGTTAAGAGACATATCAAGTTTTAGACAACAGACAGATCATGTTTGTTTTTGCAGCATATAAGAAAATAGCTTTATTGAAAAACAATAAAATTTTCAAACCAGAATAATTTTGCCATTTGATGAAGAACATATTGTCTTCTCCATGTTGATTTCCAAGTTCCATCTTAGGATTGACATTAAAGAAATTTCTCCCAACACTTCCAAAGCTGGCAAGGACCTGCTCCAAGCGAGATAAAATCCATATAGACTCAAAAAAAAGAGGGCGAGTGGGGAATAAAGCTAATTGGGCCATGACATCCCAAAAATCTAGTATGAAACAGCAACATTGCTTTAGAATAACTACAACTGATTCAGAGCCTAAAAGTATACGATGTCTCATACAAAGTATAATTTATAATCAATCAACATAAAAAAATATTAAAGATGGTTCATGCAGCAAAACCAGGACTTTAACACTGGGATGGGGTTTAATCCAAGTCTCAGTAAGAAATAATATAAAATCAATGAACCTCCATGATAAAAATATTTATTTGAAGGATAGTAAGTCAATTTATAAAGGCTATCACAAAGTTCACCTTTTATTTATAAAAAGTTAAAAAAATTCTTTTCTTTTTGTTGGGTGGGGCTGTGCTGGCTATTTTCATTAAAATGTGGCTTCAATCATGAACTGAATAGTGTTACCCTGACCAAAGTATAAGAATATTACATATTCATTGTAGTAAGCACTTCACCTTAATTCAATGCCCCCACTTTGATACAGAAGAACCAGAAGACACTCTTTTTCATTTTTCTTAAAGATTGTAGTCCAGGAACATCGTTGTGGAATGCTCACCTTTCGTAAGTACTTACTACTACCCTGTTTTTAGGAAATTTCATTAAGCAGTAAGAAGGAATGGATTGAAATTTGAAGAAAGATGGGCGTGAAGTCCAGCACCTCAAACACAAAATTTAAAGACTGTATGCTCAATTCAGTCTCATAACAAATTAAAATGAGTGAGTTCGATAATGTCTGCCCAAAGTATGAATTTTCTGCAGTAGTAGCGATTTCAACTTCAACATGTGCATTTTCTGATTGGACGTTAGTTTGATTAGCAGAATCACTCTTCCGAGGGGTGTTGGGGGATAGTTTTTCCGCAGAAAGGTCAGAAGTACTACCATCTGAAATAACACAGCAACCTAAGTAATAAATTTTTTGAAAGATTATAATATCTAATTTTCTCAGCCAAAATACTTGCCTATCATATGTATTGAAATTGCATTTGCTTTTACTCTGGGGCTCATTGTTGTACTGCAAACCGTATTCCCTGTCACAGCATCTATTGCAACAAGGTGTGCATCCCTTGTCAAAACATAGACTAGGCCCATTCCAGGATTGTCAGAAATATCAGATACAGATTCATGTGGATTGTTCGAGCCACTGTCTGAAAATTTTGCATTCATAGAAACAACTGCCGAAGAAGTGTTAGATTCAGTTTTCGTAAGAAACAAAACTGATGATGAACTGATATCAATCATGGCCACCTGTAAAGTGGATTAGAAATATATAAGTTGGAAACTCAGTGCTAGTTTAATTTAAATAACCACTCAACAACTCAATCAAGTGACCAAAAATAAGTAAACCATTTCCTTCAAAAAGGGAAAAAAATGAATGGATATCTCACCTGCCCATGTTCATATCCAACAAGAAGCCTCCTTCCAAGGTTTGCAAATTGTAAGCCGTATACAGCAGAATTTTGAAGGGAAAACACAGCTTTACAATGAGGTCCATCCCCTTGATGCGTATCATGAACTGTCCCAATAGAAAAAACCAGGTTAAAATCTGAATTTATAAATATCAATTTTTATTTTTTTTAGCATAATGAGGTGCACGAAAAGTAACTTAGGTCCTTGTCAATCAAGCTGTTTAAATTCCCCATGGCAATTGGGGAGCAAACCAGAAAAGTACCATATTGATAGGCGTACTGATTAGTATCATGGTTACATGGATAAAGCATACATATAGAGGGATCAAGTTATTCCAAAAGTAACTTTAGGGAATTACTTTTCATTTCAACCTTGCATTTTTTTTTTCTAATCAATTAAGTAAGTTATATTTTAGACGTACTAGATTAGAAGAAGGAAAAAAAAAAGGTTAGGATGAGGAGTAACTCTTTTAAGTTACTTTTGGAGTAACTTGATTCCTCCCATATATGTGTGTGTGCACATTCATACCGATTACTGTTTATAACAGCCCAAATTCAAAGCATCAAAATCTAAGGTTGCAAAAACCATGGAAAGAAGGGGGGGGAGAGAAATCTTGTGGAAGAAGCTTTCCCAAAAATGTCACGTTGTCACCAAGACCAAGGCACTTATCAATGCATAGGTAGGGTCAAACTATTGGGAAAGTCATAAATGGTGCGAAAAACGTACCCTTTCAGCAAAGGAAACTCCATTAAGATTAGTTGTGTATTTAAAACATTTTAGAGTTTAAACCCGAGACTCTATGCAAACTTATATTCCTGTAATCTTTCTGAATAAACTGGAGGCCCGTGCATCCAACTTTATATTTTTTTCACTGCCAGAAAATTAAACTTGTATAGTGTGTTGGCTTTGTTTGTTTATATTAGTCTTGTACTGGACTACAGTTTTACTAATCATAGGTTATTCATACACATAAAAATACATTACGATCCTATGTTCCTAGTAAAAATATAAGTTTGTGAATGTCATTATTGTTCCTCGTATTTACCATGCAGAAAATATTGGATGATAGGCTTATGAATACAATATAATTAAGTAAAAAACCTAGTCCATGATAGACAGGGAAGCAATGGAGGTGCACAATAATCCAGGACAAAGAGCACAACTCCAAAGCACCTTACTCTCCTTTGACCCACAACTATTTAAACAAGATTTAAAAATTGACCTCCAATATAGGCAGACATGTCTAACAGTATTCAAACAAACCAAAACTTTTTCCACTACACTTGTCAGTACAAGATGGCAATGGAGCAAGGTATAAGAGATAACTAATGAAAAAAATTGCTTGACACTTGAAAAAAATCAAGAGAGATTCTGTTTGCAATTCAAAAGGAAACCAAAATATAGCCAACCTTCAGTGCCATTTTTTGTCACGAAGTGCAAAGTGGTGTTTACTGAGCTTCTTGTTAGCTCATACAGACGCACCTACATATTCCCAGAGGATACAATTACCTGGCATTCGAGAGTCAAGACAATTGAACAAAAGAGAATGAAAAGTGCAAAATACTAATAAATCTTACAACACCACTTTCATCACCAACAGAAAGATGTAGAGTATCAGCGCAAAAACACAATGCTGACACTGGCCCACTTGCATTACCAATTTTAACATCATTAACCTGCCAATTGCAAAAGCATATGTTTCCAATATACAAGTTTCAATAAATATACAATGCAACAAGGGAGGAGGTGGAGATAGAGGGGGTGTGGGGGGGTGGGTGGTTTGAATCACCACTGGATATAAGATTGTAGATTGCATAACAAGCTGATGACAGACCTCAGATTTTATGTTGCAAACAAGTGACAAAGAAGGATATGTGGCATCCCAAATCCGAACAGATCCATCTTGGTAACCTGCTATGTATATTTGAATGATAGGATGGTTTTCTTTGAAAGGTAGACCTGGAACACCACCAGTCAAAGGCCACTTTATACTAATACTTTTCTGATTTTGTATTGAATTATGCTTTGCAGCTACAACAACCTACACAGACAATGTTTTCTATTAGTACTGAGTTGTGACAATCAAACACAGCAAACTTCACATTATATATCTCTTAAAACAGTATTAACTTCTAGATATGGAAAAGAAAGAATCTTTAGACCTAATACATGTGCATTACCTTGAACAGGGCTTTATATGACTTCACATCTTGACATACCACATCAAGCCTTGCTGCTGTCATGTGTGGTTCAAGAGTGGGTACGAGGATGGGATACTGCATTGTGGGAACAAAAGTCTTCTTTTCTTTCTGAGATATCATAGAAGACAGATAGTTATAGTCATAAATATCCAGTTGTCCGGGACTTGTCAATACAGATAGCACATTACAAGCTTCCTCTGTATGGCAATCAGTATATAACAGAGCCATATCAGCAAAAGAACCGTGAATAGTGACATCAATGCGGCCAGTACACTTTAGATTTTCAATCCCACGGGACCAATCAATGTTCAGAACCTGAGAGCATGAAAAGGCCACATTGTAGTGACACATTAATTATCTACATAAAATTTGTGAAACTTAACAGGCCATTGACTGTCAACATGACATGCCCAATTTTCAAATCTAATGTAGAAAAAGTGAAATACAAAGTATAGCAACAATCAGTTTCAATAGAAGTTATTCTTCAACAAAAATAAAGTAACAATGAACGAGAGATGAACAGTATTTGCTCCACACGTTCTCATAAACCTGTTTTCTTCTTTTCTTTTCAATAGCCAACATAACTTTATCATGATAATGAGAAGTATAATGAACAGTTATAACAAAAGAAAAGCTCAACAAGAATAAAACGAATCATAGATCATTATTAATTTATTGTATTCATCAAAGACCGTTTGCTTTCTTTCAAATGTGGTTTGTTGGGTAGGAATTGGATAATCTAATCCTTCAATAGAAAATCTGATATCGATATTTTTTTTTAACAAATTGTTAGATATGATTAGATATTAGTTGATATTATTTGATATTGTTGAGATATTGTTAGATATTGTTAATCACAATATCAAATAATATCTTTTATTTACCCTATTTTGTATTCTGTTACTCTTTTGAGGAGTACCTTTCTTTATTATAAATACACTGCCCTATGTGTGGTAAATACATAAGGGAAATTAACCCTATACAGTTTTTCCTATATTCAACATGGTATCATGAGCTTAAGGTCTCTTGGGATTTTTTTTCGGCTCTCCCACTGAACCTGCAGCCATCGCCGCCACCGTCGCCACCGCCGTCCGTTGCCGCCGTCGCCGGAGTAGCAGTTCGGACCGCCGAGCACAGGGTTTTGCTCGCCTCCTCCGTGCGACCTCCACCGTGGAAGTTTCGCGGTCATCGGAGCAACCACGCTCCCCCACGCACCTCCCGAAGCCGCGCCACCTTCTCCCGTTCCGCCGCGCGTGGCGGCGCGTCTCGCCGCCGTTCAGGCCGCCACTCTTTGCGCCGGCGTCGCCTCCTTCTCCTCTCTCTGGATCTGTCCTCGCTGCTCCAATCGGACCTCTTTGGTGTTTTAGGGTTTTTCTCTCCCTGCCTCCATGGCATCTTCCGCTGCCACTTCCAATTCTGAAGTTACCTCTGTCAGCTCCGGTGGGTCTGAGCAATCTGTTTTTACTAATTATGTCAATGTGAATTTACCCATTGATAAATTAGATGGTACGAATTATGCAACTTGGGCATCTGATATTAGACTTTGACTTGAGAGTCAGGGGTATGTTGATCATCTTACTACCAAGTTAACTCATCGCTCTCACAAGCCAGGCAAAGGGCGTGTCAAGTGTGACCATTGTGGAAAACTAGGCCACAAAATTGACAAATGTTATGCTTTACATGGTTATCCTCGCCGATCTGCTGCAGTTGCTCAGACTGATTCTTCCGCACAATCCTCTGCTGTGGATCCTCCTTCGTCTCGTACCTTCGGACAAATCTGCTATCTTCAATGATTTTCTTCAATGGTATGAGGATCGAAAGCCCTCCAGCTTCCACTACTTCGTTGCCCACACAGGTACATCTTTTGCTTGGTCTAACTCACTCTTCTTCTATTGGCTCTTGGGTTCTTGACTCGAGCGCCACCGATCACATCACCTGGTAACAAATCCTTATTTTCCTCTTTCACTTCTTCTCATAATTTACCCTCCGTTACAATGGCTAATGGGTCTACAACTTTAGCTCATGGTGTTGGAACGGTTACTCTTTTTCCCTCGTTGTCCATTGATAATGTTTTGTATGTACCCGGGTCCCCCTTTAACTTATTATCCATTAGCCGTCTAACTCGATCTCTTGATTGTGTTATCTCTTTTACCAAAACTTCGTTTCCCTACAGGACCGGAGCTCGCAAAGAGTGATTGGCACCGGATGTGAGTCACATGGACTTTATTATCTTCAACCCTCTCCACATGTTGACACGGTTATGGAGTCTCCTTCTCTCCTTCATGCTCGGCTTGGTCACCCCGATCTGCGAAAATTACAGCAACTTGTTCCTAGCTTATCCCAGCTTGTCCAATTTGGTGTGTGAGTCCCGTCAGTTAGGCAAACATAGTCGTACTTCCTTTTCTCGTAGTGTTTCCCAGCGTGCTTCATCCCCCTTTGCCTTAGTTCACTCGACATTTGGGGACCCAGATCGTGTTAAGTCTAATTTAGGTTTTCAATATTTTGTTACTTTTATTGATGATTTCTCTCGTTGTACTTGGTTATTTTTAATGAAAAATCGTTCGAGTTGTTTTCTATATTCCAAAACTTTTATCATGAAATTAAAAATCAATTTGGTGTCTCTATTCAAACTTTTCGAAGTGATAATGGCCGTGAATATCTTTCAAACTCGTTTAAACAATTTATGGCTTCTCATGGCATTCTTCATCAAACTTCCTGTGCTTATACCCCTCAACAAAATGGGGTAGCTGAGCGCAAGAATAGACACCTTATTGAAACAACCCGTACTCTTTTAATTCATGGTGAGGTTCCTCAACATTTTTGGGGTGATGCTGTTCTTACTGCCTGTTATCTTATTAATCGTATGCCCTCTTCGGTTTTAGATAACAAAATTCCCCATTCTATTTTATTTCCTCATGACACTCTCCATCCTTTACCTCTGAAGGTTTTTGGGTCTACCTGTTTTGTCCACAATTTTGATCCCTGGTCATGATAAGTTATCTCCTCGGTCACACAAATGTGTTTTCTTAGGATTTACTCGATCCCAAAAAGGATACAAGTGTTTTTCTCCTTCTCTTAATCGCTATTTTGTGTCTCGCCGATGTCACCTTCAATGAGTTTTCCTTTTACTTTAAGGACCCTTCCCTACCCGCTAAGTCTCCATCTCGCTACAGTTCCCATTCCTCGTTCTCATTGATCCTTATGTTGAGGACCATCCACCATTAGCCCCTCCTCCCCCACCACCCCTTCAGGTTTATAGTCGCAGACCTCGCCCACAACAGACGCCACATGACTCACTCCCAGTGCCAAATACTCGCTCTCCTCCGGCTCCGTCCACGAGTCCGACCTTCCTATTGCCCTTCGTAAAGGTACGCGTTCTACTCGTAATCCTTCTCCACATTATACCGCTTTAAGTTATCATCGAATTTCTTCACCATTTTATACCTGTCTCTCGTCTATTTCTTCCGTGTCTATTCCTAAATCTGCCTCTCGAAGCCTTAGCCCACCCTGGTTGGCGTCAGGCCATGCTAGATGAACTCGGTGCTCTTCGGACTAGTGGAACTTGGACGCTTATCCCATTACCATCCGGAAAATCTGTTGTTGGTTGCAGGTGGGTCTTCGCTATCAAGGTTGGTCCCGATGGTACTATTGATCGCCTCAAAGCTCGCCTTGTAGCCAAAGGCTATACCCAAATTTTTGGGTTGGATTATGGTGATACTTTCTCTCCAGTGGCAAAGATGGCTTCTGTTCGTTTATTCATTGCCATGGCTGCTATTCAACAATGGCCTCTTTATCAACTGGATGTCAAAAATGCTTTCTTGAATGGCGATTTGCAAGAAGAGATTTATATGGAGCAACCTCCCGGATTTGTTGCTCAGGGGGAGTCTTCTGGATTGGTATGTCGTCTTCGCAAATCTTTATATGGCTTAAAACAGTCTCCTAGGGCCTGGTTTGGCAAATTTAGCGACGTTGTTCAACAATTTGGCATGACTAGAAGTGAGGCGGACCACTCGGCCTTTTACCGTCACTCGAATGTCTGGATGTATCTATTTGATAGTGTATGTCGATGACATTGTTCTTACAGGTAGTGACCATCATGGCATCTCTCGGATGAAACAACACCTTTGTCACCATTTTCAAACCAAAGATCTTGGCAAACTCGGATATTTCTTGGGTATTGAGGTAGCACAATCTACCGATGGCATTGTTATATATCAAAGAAAGTATGCATTGGATATTTTGGAGGAAACTGGGTTGATGAATTCAAAGCCTGTTGACACACCCATGGATCCTAATACCAAACTCTTGCAAAATCAGGGGGAGCCAATGTCGATCCCGAACAAGTATAGAAGATTAGTTGGAAAATTAAATTATCTTACGATTACTCGCCCTAACATTTCCTTTGCGAGTCAGTGTGGTGAGTCAATTCCTCAATTCTCCTTGTCAAGATCATTGGAATGTAGTCATCCGTATATTGAAGTACATCAAAAAGTCTCCTGGAAAAGGTTTGGTGTATGACTCCCATAATCATACAAGAGTTGTCTGCTATTCGGATGCTCGATTGGGCAGGATCTCCTCTCGATAGAAGATCTACATCCGGGTATTGTGTTTCCATTGGTGGTAACTTGATCTCATGGAAAAGTAAGAAACAAAGTGTTGTGGCAAGATCCAGTGCAGAAGCAGAGTATAGAGCTATGACCTCGCCTACCTGTGAACTTATTTGGCTCAAGCAATTGCTTAAAGAGCTACAATTTGGAGATGTCACTAAAATGACACTAGTGTGTGACAATCAGGCCGCTCTCCATATAAGCTCTAATCTCGTCTTTCATGAGAGGACTAAACACATTGAGATTGACTCGCCATTTTATTCGGGAAAAGATTATGTCCGGAGACATCAAGACTCGAGTTCGTTAACTCATGTGATCAATTAGCAGATATTTTCACTAAGTCTTTACGGGGACCTAGGATGGATTATCTTTGTACCAAGCTAGGCACATACGATTTGTATGCTCCAGCTTGAGGGGGAATGTTAGATATGATTAGATATTAGTTGATATTATTTGATATTGTTGAGATATTGTTAGATATTGTTAATCACAATATCAAATAATATCTTTTATTTACCCTATTTTGTATTCTGTTACTCTTTTGAGGAGTACCTTTCTTTATTATAAATACACTGCCCTATGTGTGGTAAATACATAAGGGAAATTAACCCTATACAGTTTTTCCTATATTCAACACAAATAAACATAAAATCCAGAAACAATCTCAAGGTGAGGATAGATCCTCTACAATGTTTCTTCTAACCACTTCAACCTCTGGGATAAAACTCATCCTTACAAAGACAACACTGAACACAAAAGTTTCAGTTCACTTCCTCTGAAACTTTCTCAATACTACCTGCTTAGGTAGGATCTGTGACAACTTGAACTTAGGCACTCATTATTATGGCTTTTTTACTGTCATTATATTAAAACACCACAATCATAACCAAAACAAAGAAAGTTTTTTTTCATCTAAGCATCATCTCCTGCAAAATGTTAACATCGTGATGTTTTTCAATTATTACAATAACTATTAGAAAACTATTGTCAAATAGCTACTATGCATATGAAGCTTACTGTAAGAGCTTCTTCAGACCCAATCTCATGACCACCATAGACAAAAAGTTTCCCCCCACTTTTGTTGGCCTGCCAACGTAGAACAGTAATAGGGAGTCTTCTATCAGCTGACGATAACTGAAGCTTGACAACATCACTTGACAATCTTTTAACTTGTTTGTCTAGGGGGAAGTCAGCAGTTGACAAATCCCAGAACATTATATCACCGTCTACATAACCGACAACAACAACTGATCCATCATTAGATGCCCAAGATACAGAACTTATCTCCTTGTCCTCCTCTTCATGGTCTAATTTATCATCAGAAAGCTGAACCTTAGGGTCATTTGGATGACTAGCCACAATTTTTCTCTTCAATTCTATGTCTTTGTGGTCTCTAATGAGAACAATTCGATCTCCAGAAGCATCCCAGAGTACCATCAAACCATTTTCATATGCAATTAGCAATCTGCAAAATGACAATTTCAATTGAATCAACTAAATCATGAACATACCATACATATTATACAAAAATTAAGTTCCCTTAAAATTCATGAAAGTATCTAGGTTACTATGTACATGTGTATTACAGTGTATCTAATATATGCCAATTAATTTTAAACATGCCATAAATTAATTTCGCGATGATGTTTTCATTAGACTACTGGCAATTAGCACTGAATTTGAAACAAGAAGAAACTCCATGTTGAATTATATCTGTATTAAGTTTATTCTCCATGTTGTGTATTTCAAACAAAAAGAAACTCCAAGCGATTAAAATTGAATTTGAATTGGAGAATCCTACGTATAGTCCACTGCTAATCAGCAAAAGTGAATAAAACTTTAGTTTCCCTTAAAAATATGGCCAAAATATTGCATATATACTTCATTCAAAATCATTATGTACGAAAATTTGGTCCCATGGTTATAAATCAACTGTGTTCTGTGGTCAAACCTATCTAGATATTGATGCAACTCAAACTTCCACTCATGCTTTAGAAAATGTCTAAATATGTGACTATTTAATAGAATGATCAATTATCCTAATCAGAGATGCAAAATTACCTAAAACTCATGTCTCACAATTCCTTCATAGAACATAAGGAAATCAATTAGAGAAACTTTTAAGAATGTTCCTGTCTTGCCTGTTTCCATCAGAACATGGTTGATGGAGAACTCTGACAACTGAAACTTGGTCAAGTGACATCCCAACTGCTTCTGCAAAGGTGAGAAACATTTTGCAACAAGTTAGATGTTAGACTTGGAGAAACTATGTGATTACCTACGAAAAAAAAATATAAATTGCATATTAACAACAGGCTTATGGCTAGCTAGGAAGTATGTTGTTACATTTATGACATACCAAAATAATCTGCTCCATTAAGGAGATTTTATTAAAGATTACCACAAGGTTTCATAAATTGATTAATAAAGATATATAGTAATTTATAAAGCATTGATATAATGAAATATATGAAAACAAGTACACAAGAAACATCGTCATGAGGAGTGCACCACTAACCTAATAATTCTTACCTAAATAGTTGAAGTTTTTACACTTTTTTGTCAAGTAATTCCTTAACTTGGTATAAAGCCTCTTTGAATAAACTATCAAAATTACAGGGGTATATTAAAGATTTTAAAAAATAAATCTTGTGTCTTGACATAACAGTTTAAAGATTCAAATCAAGGGGTAATAGAACATCTTTATATCACGTAAAACAATAAATGGATATTAGCAAAATGCCAAAAAAAGAATATTAGATCCTGTATATTACCATATGTATATATACAAAATTTCAGGTGCAGTTATAAACATACAACCCTAAATTCAATCTCTAGGTGATAAATTACACCAAGCATGCAATAACATTCATATAAAGCAACAAGGTCCTTTCCAAATTTGTGGTTAATGGGTTATGATCTGCATCCAGAGATAGTGGCCTTATATCTTAATAAGCAATTTGGATCAGAAAACTTCTCTCAAACCAAAGAAAAAGTCAATGCTTCTACCAAGCCAGCCACTTCGGCAGATGCACTAATACTAGTCTTACTTCAACTCAAATATGGTATAAATGAGCTACGAGAATGTGTACTTACCAGATATAACATTTGTGGGAACATAATAGGGTAATATTTTAATTTTTCTGTCTTCAGAATCGAACATCAATGCATATACCATCCCATGCTCAGTTCCGATATACCTGAATTTCATTAAGAGAGGATAAACATGTTATAAACCCATTTACCAAGACTTTATTAGAAAGAGTAGTATGCAAATACAGATAGAAAATTATCTGCGCAAGTATTTTACATGTAACTGGTGCCATAAATAACAGAGAAAGCAGTTATGATGGATTCCCACTGCAAGACGGAAGCAATTTGTTTGCTTTTCAAATCCCAAACCTGCCATTAACAGAAACATACTGAGCAGGCTAGTGAATGAAACAGAGGAAAGGGGATAATGGGAGTAAGGGGAAAAAAACTAGATAGAAAATTTAGACATAGCATTAAAGGAAAGAAAGTTCATATGGAATACCCAAAAAAGGTGGTAAAACATGTTTTTCACCCGTCAAAATATTTCAAAGTTCATTTTTAGTCCCTTTATATTTTAATGTTTTAGTCACCAGATTTACTAAAGTGATATGGTTTTAGTCCCTAATCAGGAATACAAAACACATATTTCTGTTAAAATGTAAGGACTAGTAACCAATTAAATTTTTATAAGGACAAAAATCGAAATTTCAAAATATTTTGAAATATCAAAAACATATTTTACTGCAAACAATTATAAAGCATATCCGGAGGGTGCCCAGTCATATATACAATTTAAAAGAACCCTACTGAACTTGTAAGGTACCTGTATTTTGTTATCACTTGAGACGCTGGCAAGAAAGCCTTGGTTTTCCAAGAACTGTGAGAAATGTGCAAAGAGATAAGATATAATAATATTCATGAAATTCCTCACAATCATTTTATTCGACTTCTAAAGTTTAATTAATGTACAACATTACATCAATAAACATGCAAATGCACGCCAAACACACACATAGCCACATAAGCATGGATTCCAGAGATGCAAATATTCAATGAAAAAAATTACAAAACACTATCGGGGTAAAACAATATAAGATAAAATGACTGATAGACATCACTCTTTAGTTTCAGGTTAAACATTGGTCCAAAATTACAAACCTCTAAATTCTTGAAGGATGCTTGCTTGGGAGAGATAAGAATCCCTTCAATATTGTCACCACCGAACACCTTTATCCTTCCATCGCTACAAGAGGGAAGAAAATGCCAAAGTCAACTAAAAAATTCATTAACAACCTCCATATCAAAATTGTCTAGCTCTCAACAACACAGTGCAGTAATTACTTATTACTAATAACTACTGTCTAGCTCTCAACACCACAATGTAGAAATAACTACTATAATATTCTGAAAAAAAAAATTAAAATTATGTAGTATATCGCTATTCCTATATCTAAGCTAATAAGCCACTCCTCAATCTTCACAACAAAGGAATGATGAAATATTGAATGGTTGAAAAAAAAGACACATATTTAAAGAACGGAGAATTTCAATAAGGCAGAAAACATGAAAGGAACGCGTTGTTCCAACGCAAAGCCAATGACACAACCGATAATAACTCACAGTGCTCCCACTGCTAATAGGCCTTGGATGTGATCGAAAGCAAGAATAGACGCGGTAGATGGAATGCCATAGTGAAAAACAACTCGCGGATCGAAATTTGCCTGCGCCACGTCCTGCCGCCGAAGGACGCCAAAAACGTTCAGAAACATCAGTTTCAGGATTCGTGTTCATATAGAAATAGAAACTTATACAATATGAATGCACTAATCACAATATAACAAAAAGGTTCCTTAACATTGTGCACCAACATTGGTAACCACTGTAAGAAAAAAACAAAGATGCGGGAATCTGTAACGATCGTGAATAGCCTTTGTTTATGGCGGAAACTGAGCACGTACCTGAGGACGTTGTTGCGATAGAGATTTGTGGAATAACCGAGAGAACATTGTTGACGACGATCCAAACCAAGAGCTTCTTCTGGCTTTTATTTGTTTTTGTATTCTGATTTTCTGTTTCTTGGTGCTTCAGGTGCCGTGTGAACCACCAGTATGGTGCACCGTGCACGTCTGCTCCTCGCGGTTTTCTTATCCAAATGGACGGTGATGCCAAGCCTTCAGGATCACATGGACCGTCAGATTTCCAACTTTAAAGTTCAAAGATGATTTGGGGATATGATATAATCGCCTGAACACTAAGTAGTATTAGCAACACACGAAATTCGAAAATTAAGAAGAACCCGTAGAAGCCACTTTGCTTTTTCTCTGCCTACCTCTTCTTAAAAATAAAAGAAAAAATGTCTTTAAAATAAAATAAAATGTTACAAACATATATTCTATATAATTTTTTACACGAGATTATTCTTACATAATTATTAAACTAATTATTCTAAAAACTGATAAATGAATCACACGTAATCATATTAGCATGTATATTTTTCATTTTTAAATGTTAATTTAATATTTGCTAAACTTTTTCTCACGTGTTTTTTTTTAAACTAAGTACTTACATATCTCTTGAATTTACTAAATAAATTATTTATGTTACTTAAAGTACTTAAAGTGGTTAAATAATTAGAGAAAATGGGGTATAATCCTATTAATTAGATAATGAGAGAAGATAGTTTAGCGTTTATTTAAAGGTGTGGAACTACGTGATTTATATATTTTAACGTATAGAATTTTAAAAATTAAGAAAAAGATTTTTTTTTCTCTCTTTAACACCAAAGAAAACAACAAAATTAAAAAATTAAAAATAATCGAAGATATACATTTGAATTTTTTTAATATATATATATATATATATATATATATATATATATATATTAATAATAGTTAAAAATTATATCAAAATTAAAAAAATTAATAATAATAAAAAAAATATTACATAATTCCATTTTTTTCACTTTTTTTATTCTCCCAAATCCATTCTAAACAATCAATTAATTCTAAATAATTAAGATATAAAAAGTGAGTGAAATGAAATAGGAATTAGATAACACCCGAGTTTCCTCCCCGTTTTCATTTTTGAAATTTCGTTTGATCTTAAGAAAATAATTTATATCTTCTTAATTTTGTTAATAGGTTAAAAAAATAAGCTTCATACAATAAAAAGAAAGAAACAAAATGAACAAACAAAGGGAGATGAGGCCTTTATCCAACTAACACTTTGTCTCTGCTGCCATGAGAGGTGCATCTTTCCTCACAAAAGGGCACAACACAAGGCTGCCACTAACTATCAACCCTAACCCTAAACCTGCTATCTTCTAAAGCTATCATTTTTTTATGCAAAATCTGCCACAGATAAAAACAATGAACGTGCTGGGTTTGAATTAGACTCATTGTTTCATTCAAGATGTTCCACTACGATTGAATTAAGCCCTGTCTATGCCACTGTTTTTGTCTCTTCTTTATTTAGTGTAAGAACCCTCACTGGTGTTGTAATAATAACAATAGTAATATTGTTAATAAGAATAATTAGAACAAGAATAATAAAAAAATTCTGACTGGTAGACACACCAAACACATTACTTTTTAAAGAGATGCTGCAATGTTGGTACAATAAAGGAGGTTATAAATTTTTCTTCTTAATGGGTATAAATTCATCGTATAAAACTGTTAATTAAATTATAATAATTATACTTCAATGTATTTATATGTGCTCAATGGAAAGATAATAGAATGACATTATAATATAAGAGGTTAATTATAATCAAATAATAAGAATTATATAAAAGCAGGAAGTTATTTCTATTTAGACAATTATTTTGATTGCATATTCAAGTAAAATGATAAAATAAGTATAATTAATTTTTTAATTATTTAAGATTTACTAGTTTTTAAAAATCATTATCATAGTTAGATCAATAAAATTTAATATTTTAAATATATAATTTTTTTTTAAATTAAACAAAAAATTAATTCAACTCCAACCTCCCATTTAACAACTGTGAAACAAGGATAAAATAAAAAGTAATTAATGTAGTTATAAATTTATAAAAAAAAAGTAATACATCTGTTTTCAAAAAAAGAAAACATTTAGCAATATAATCAACACTCTAATATAATCAAATAATGTTAAATTAAAATCTGGAAACATGAATGTTTCTTTTAATGATGTTGGTAATTGGCATGAGCAACATTTAGCAATAAATGCGTTTAAAAATATCCTAACCCAAATTCCCAATATTGTTTGTGCCTGTCAACTCCGGCATTGTTAACTAAGTTGTCTCATTTCGAACCACGAGGACGAATAATCATTATATCAAAAGAAAATTGTATCAGAGAAGTTGAAGATGAAAATGGAGACGGACCCATCACACGTGCGAATCGTCCTTTGTTTCCCACATTCACACGCTTGGATTCATCAAAACTAGCCCAACATATATAATTAACAAGAAGCGGGGTCCCAAGGTTTTTATACTGTTGTTATTATTATTATTATTCTCTCACGTAATGGCTTCTTCAACTCAAGAACATCAACTCCTGCCAAACCTCTACGCCGGCGCCACCTCAGCTCCGCCGCCAACACCAGCTGCGCACCACGACAGCCTCCTGTCCTCCGCTGACGCCGCCGACGCGCTCTCGCGCCTCCTTCACCGCCTCCCGCCCACGCTCTCCCTCCCCACGCGCCTCTCCTCCTCTTCCTCCGCAGCCGCCACGTGTCCCCCCTCCCTCTCCTCCCTAAACGACATCCTCTCCTGCGTTTCAAAACTTGGTTTCGCGCAACTCACTGATCACTCGGTTCCCCCGGAACTCGCCAGTTCGGCTGAGTCAGAAGCGTTTGCGCTCTTCGACCTTCCTCGCGACAAGAAGGAGTCTCTCATCACCAAAAGCTGGCCTCTCGGCTACGGGGGCGGCGATGATGACGACGAAGACGACGACGGAGTTGCTGAGTCGTTCCGCTTCGATTCGGCCTGCTCTACCGAGTCGAGCGAGTTCGCTCTCGTCTCTCTGCGCGAGTTCGCACGCGCACTGGAGAAGCTGGGACTGAAGATCGTCGATGAGTTAACTAAGGCCTTGGGCTGCGAGAACCCATTGGGAGATGACCCGAACCAGTTCCATTCTCTTCTATGGGTCTCGGAGTCTTCGCCCGGAAACAAATCGGGTGGGTTTTACCCGTTTATAATCGCGCTGCAGTACCAGATTAGGAATCAGAAGTACTCGATGCTGTCGGATTCGGGATGGGTTTCCGTGCTGCCACACGTGGACTCGATTTTGGTCACTGTTGGCGACATTGCTCAGGTAAATTAATTCATTTTATTTTCTAGATTACGTTTTAATTAATTAATAAATGTTTCTATGGCTTGTTAATGTTAGTAACTTCTTTGCTTTATGGTTTGCATATTTGTTAATTATGTTGGATAGTCTTCTTGCTTTTAAAATATTTTATTTATTTTTTCTTTCTCCTAGTGGCCTGGTTTGGGGGAAAAGCTTGTATGTAAGATTGTCAGTTTGTCACTTAATTGTGTTGGCTATAGTTTAAAGTTATTTGTGAGTGGTAATTACTCTATTGTCCCTTCCGTGCATGAATTAGTTTAAAGTTTGAACAAGGCTTGGAAAGGCTAACGGAACTAATCACTTTTTATATGAACTATGTGATTTCAGCTAATGAGGCGCGTATTTTAGTTATCTGATGGGTATTTTTCTTTTTTTAAGGTTTAGTTTTATTAATTAATTTAATTAATATACTTGTTTGCACTCCGGGTCTTGGTTAATTGCCTGTTCACCCGAGTTTTACTCCTCTGTTTCAACCCAAACGTACTTCTCTGTACTCAAATAATTTGACTTTTTTTACAGATAAAAGTCCCTATGATTCAGACTCTATAGGTATGCATTTCTTGACAGTTTCATGTCAGCAAAATAACTTATATGTTGGTTGGACCCCTTTTTATATCAAGCCGGGTCATAATGTACTGGTTAGCAATGTCCCTATGTCGTGTTCTGTGCTTTTCTTCATTTTTCATTGGGATGTGTCCTAAAGTAGAAAATTCGTCAATTCAGCTCAGAAAAAGTGGATGAGGGCAAAACCCTCAAATCTCAAATGCTAAATCATGCACACTTTCCTATGAAAAGAAAACTATATCAATTTCATAGGCTACCCATCCCCTCCACCTCCTAGTAACCTTAAAAAAATGAAGAGAGAAAAAACAGAGTGTCCCTCGAGTGTTTTTGTGCGTGTTATGCCTTGGCTTTTTAATAGTTGGTTTCACATTCCTTAATAAGTTTAAAAGATTAATTATTTATACAATTTTCCACCATGTATCTTTAAAAATCACTTCTTCTTTTTTGTTTATTTTTAAGAGCTCATCCTAAAGGGTTGATGATGCAATTATTGATAAAGTGGGGTACTATTTGAATTTAAGCAATTATTGTGTAGGTGTGGAGCAATGGAAAGTTGAAGAAGGTGAGAGGGAGACCAGTGGCCACAGTGGGAGAAGAAAATGGTTCACGCTGCATAACAATGTCATTGCTGATAACTCTTCCCACAGAGAGCAGAGTGGGTCCACTTCTTCCCAAGGCAACCATTGGGAGCAACAAGAATGAGGAAAAGGAAGAAATTGATGAAGAAAAGAATTGTGGTGATGAAGGACAAGAAAGGGTGTTCAACTCTTTCGATTTTGAGGACTATGCTTGGAGAGTCTACCATGAACTCATCCTTTTCAAAGATCCATTGGAGAGGTATCGTGTTGCTTAGAAGTTGAAGATGAAGTTGTTCTCACTGGCTCTGTTATTTGTTCTTCTCAGTCATCTGTTTTTGTTAGATTCATTAATTTGTCATGTTAGTGATGTTGGTCCAGTACGGGTTGAATATTAGGTGGGTGAAAGGGAAAAATGTGAGGAGTACGATAAGATATGCATTTGCTCCATTTTATTTATTGGATTGATTTTGAAGTAAGAGAGCTGTGTCACTGATTCTTACTTTATCTTTCAATCTAGAATTCTAGTTTGTAACAGTAACTTCAGGGACTGGGGTCCAACTCTGCCACTAGGATATTGACTAGACAGTGGCTTCAATTATATCTTTCACTGAAGCATTATTAAATATTGAATACCTAATGGAATATCTATCATCTAAGAAGTAGAAAAACTGGATTTTGTTATTTAGTTTTAAAAAGTAAGTATAAAAGAACATTTTATTTACTCTTAAAAGTATAAATTTTTTTTTATATTTTCGAAGTAATAAATATTTTTAATTCAAATGATTTTATTTGACTTCATTTTTTTCCATTATCAAATTAATTGTTTTTACTGTTAATTAATTAACGTTATCTTAAATATACATTTCAAAAATAATTATTATAAAATTAATATTATTCAGTAATCTAAGATAGAATGATAATGTGTTTTTTTACACCAGTAGGGTATTTAAATTAAATTCTAAAGGCTCGTTTCAAAAGAATATAAGTTAAAATACTATTTAAATTATTTGTGTTAAATTAAAATATTCGTTAAACTAAAAAATTGTACCCATAAGTAAAATTTGACGCATAAGTAAATTAAATCTTATTTTACATTTCGCACGTCTCATGGACTGGGATACAGTTTTTGAAAAATACTTCTAAAAATATGTTTTATACAAAGTAAATTCTGTAATACATTTTAAAATTTAATATTTCAAAAATCAATACATTTTTGGATTATACATTCTACTCTAGACTTACAAAATTGGAATTTATTTCCGAAAAACTAATTCCAGACTCCACTTTCTAGAATATGTTTTTGGAAAAAAAATATTCCAAAAATATGTTATGCAAATTAAATTTTATAATACATTTTTAAATTTAATTTTCTTAGATCGGATTATATATTGTATTCTAGACTTACCCCGAAAAAACTAATTCTAAAACCCACTTTTTAGAACATGATTTTGGAAAAAAATTTCTAAATATACATTTTCATAATAGATTTTTTGAAAAAATATATTCCAGACCACCAAATCTAGAATGCATTTTCATATTGGTTTTTTTTTAAATATATTTTAGAATACATTTTCAGAAAAGTAATATAAAAATACATTCCAAATTTAGAGTTCTAGAACTAAATCTATTTTTCGTGAAACTGTTTTGAATAGAATAATTTAGTGTATCTTAATATGTAATTTAAGTATAAAAACATGTAATAGATATATAATATTAATAATTATTCATCTTTAAATATTAAAAACGATGGAAATGATAATACAAGAAACTAAATCTATAAATTTATGAAAGTGTAGAAGATGAGTAGATTTTTGATCATATATATATATATGATACATAATTTAAATATGTTAAGGCCATTATTTATTAAGCCAAATAATAAAGTGATCTTACTAAATTAAAGTTTTGGCTAAAAACATATATCATGAAAATAAAATTGTGTAGAGACCATAGAGTAATTTCTAATTTGATGAGAGGTCAAATTAGAAATACTAAAAATTAAGTAATTAACCTAATTCTGGTTATTTTAAGGGGTCATGATCCCCTTCTGGGAGCACGTAGACAGAATGTAAGTTTCACTCTCGTTCCTTTCTTTCTATCCCTATCAAGAGAGAAAATCAAAAGGAAAATACGGGTGGAAGACCATAAGATCAATATAGTGTTCTACAAAGATATCATAATTATGACTAATTCAGTTACGCTTTCGCATTCAGTTTACAACATGTTTATCAGTATGAGATTACGTTTATGTTTGATCGTTAAAATCAAAATCAGGATCATAATAGTGAATTACTAACAATTGGTATCAGAGATACCCATACTTGATTCATGTCTGTTTAATTTATAGAACTCTAATTATGAAAATTAGGATTAATTTTGTTTTAAACAATTTAAATTACCCATTTTTTATGAACCCTAGGTGGAGAATAATCTCCAATTTTTGTGAACCCTAATATTTAAATTTGGTTTAGGGAGAGGCACTAAAACGACAATTTATATTCTAAACAGAGTATCAATTAAAGCAGTTACCAAAACACCTTATGAGCTTTGGACTGGGCGACAACCTAGTTTGAAGTATTTCCATGTGTAGGGTTATCCAGCTGAGACAAAGCCTTATAAGCCAAATGAAAAGAAATTGGACTCCCGAACAGTAAATAGTTATTTTATTGGTTATGCTGAAAGATCCAGGGGATATAAATTTTATGATCCCACATTGAAGACAATTTTTTGAGACGAGAACTGCTACGTTCTTTGAGGATATTGAGTTTGGGGGAAGAATAAAATTAGGAACTTTGTCTTTGAGGAAGAATCGGTAACAATTCCAGAACCGATTCAAACACTTACTATTGATAAAGTAAGTTCGGATCCTCCACAATGCATTACCCCTTACTCAAGATGATTTGGTTATTCATGAAGAACAAACTCAAGATCCTCAAGAACCTGTGCATCATGAACCAATAACTTTGTGGAGATCCACTAGAGAAAGAAGAAGTGTTATTTCGGATAATTACATGGTATTTCTTTAGGAACATGAGGAAAACAATGATATGATGGAAGATGACCTAGTTAACTTCCGTCAAACTATGCAAAGTGGATTGAAGCAATGAAGGAGGAGTATAAGTCCATGCAAGGCAACAAGGTTTGGGAACTTGTCCCATTACCAGAAGGTATGAAACCCATTGGTTGCAAGTGGATATTTAAGACCAAACAGGATTCTAAAGGTAATGTGGAAAGGTATAAGGCTCATGTGGTAGCTAAGGGTTATACCCAAAAGGAAGGGATTGACTTTAAAAAGACTTTCTCTCCAGTTTCATCGAAAGACTCTTTTAGGACAATCATGGCTCTTGTAGCACATTATGATTTGGAGCTTCATCAGATGGATGTCAAGACTGCGTTTCTCAATAGTAACATTGATGAGAGAATTTATATGGTACAACCAGAGAATTTTGTGCAAGGAGATCCAAAGAATATGGTTTTTAAACTGGAAAAATCCATTTATGGACTAAAACAAGTATCTCGTCAATGGTACTACAAATTTCATCAAGTAATTCTCTCATTTGGCTTCGAGATGAATATTATTGATGATTGTGTGTATTACAAGTTTAAAGGGAGATAAGTTTAGTCTTAATCAGTACCCAAAGGGGAATTTGTAAATTGAGGAAATGCAAAAGATTCCCTATGTATCAGTTGTAGGGAGTTTGATATATGCCTAAGTATGTACACATTCAAACATAGTATACATAGTTGAGATTTTAGGCAGATATTTAAGTAATCCAGGAATTGACCATTGGAAAGCAGAAAAAAGGGTCATGAGATGTTTAAAGAGAACAAAAGATTATATGCACACAAACAGGAGGTCAGACCAGTTTGACATCGTTGGGTTTTCTGACTTGGACTTTGTAGGATGTCTAGATAGTTTGAAATCCACTTCAGGTTGCATTTTCATGTTGACAGGTGGTGCGGTTTCTTGGCGTAGTGTCAAGTAAACCCTTACAGCTTCATCCATTATGACAACAAAATTTGTAGCATGTTATGAGACATCAAATCATGCAATATGGCTGAGAAATTTTGTCACAGAGCTGCAAATTGTGAAAGGAGTTGAAAGACCACTTAAGTTATATTGTGACAACAAATCAGCTGTATTGTTAAGAAAAGAGTACAGAGTGAACAAATTTCCAAAGAACAATTAAGGACAACCTCCATGATAACAGATCATCTAACTAAAGGACTTCCACCTAAGGTCTTTCATGAGCATGTTGCTCACATGGGTGTTTTACAGTTTGAGGAATTTGTGGTTTAAGTGGGAGTTAGTCATTTTCATATATTTTATGTTCTATGTTTAATTTCATGTATGTATACATTGATTTTTGGACATATTTGGTTATCTATATATATATGCGATTTTTCGTTCATTCATTACACTTTGTACATTAAGGTTATTATATCGATCTCGATAAGTTAAAGTTTGAACCAATTGAAAATAGACGTGTATAGATCACCTTCACGTAATTTTTCATGTTACACATTTCATGATGAATCTATGTCATTTGGTTATGTTAGGATGAGTAATCATTGTTGGTTTTAGTTGCGATGATGCAATGAAAAACTAGTTTGGTTCTATATCATGATATGATCAATGGATGAGACTTTTGGAGTATGCTAAAGGAATATAATGATAATTTTGAGCTCATAAAGTTTAACACATTTGTAAGGTTGTAAGGACATATATGTTTGTGACTAGTGGGAGATTGTTGACAAATTTTAGGTCATGTATGTTAGAAAATTAATAATAATAATTATAATCCTAATTTTGATTCTAACGATCAAACATAAACGTAATCCCATACTGATAAACATGTTATACACTGAATGCAAAAACGTATCTGAATTAGCCATAATGATGATGTCTTTGTATATTGATCTTATGGTTTTCCACCTGAGGAGCACTTGTATTTTCCTCTTGGTTTTCTCTCTTGATGGGATAGAAAAAAAAGAACAGGACTGATACTTACGTTCTGTGTGTGCTCCCAGAAGGAGACCATGACCCTTTAAATAACCAGAATTAGGTTAATTACTTAAATTTTAGTATTTCCAATTTGGCCCCTCATCAAATTAGAAATTACTCTATGGTCTCTACACAATTTTATTTTCATGACATATGTCTTTAGTCAAAACTTTAATTTAGTCAGATCACTTTATTATTTGACTTAATAAATAATGACCTTAACACATTTAAATTATGTATCATATATATACATGACCCAAATTTCGTCAA